TATATTTGATATTCTTCCTTTTAAATAAATACAATTATATTGGGTTTTCTCTCTACTCATTGTTAAGGCTATATTTGGTCTTTATCTTATCCAATGATAATACTCAATATCAGCATGTAGTCAACTCACTATTGAAGAGATGCTTAGTAATCCATATTCAATCTTTGTTCTTAGATAACTTTTCATTTAACTTATATTTACTATTCAACAAATAGAAAAAAAAAGTTGACACAAACAGAGTTAAATCGGGCTGAATTGGCCATAATCTCCACTTCATCTAGTGAACTGATCCCAGTTCCATTGTACCACCAAGTTCAATTTATGAAATATTTAAATAGCTAAATAAATTATTTAATAAAATAAGAATAAAGTATTAGGTATTATTTGTAATTTAAAATTTTTAATTTACATTTAAAATGCTTGATTAGATATAAATTATAAGTGAAAAATATATCTAAATATATAATATAAATTAATAATATTTTATATTATAATATAAATTTTTGCTAAAGTTGAAATAAATTTAAAGATTGAATATATTTAATTTTAAAATTACATAATATTACTAATGTGTGAATTCATTTTTTTTTAATAAAAAAAATTATATTAATACATGATTGTTATTTAAATTTTATTTAAATAATTTTCAATTTTATTATATCATCAAATTCAACTCTGAATCAACCTCAGTCGAACTATTGAACTCTTAACCTCTCATTCCTCTAGTTCTATCTTTGACCTGATTTTCACAACCTTGTCAATAACTTTAAAACACTTGGCTATTCCCATATAGGCCATCAAGTCTAAAAATAATGACAAAATGGCAATCCCATACAAAAGTTCAAACAACATAATATCATGCATACTTCGTAGATAATTGCATGAATAGTAGTTATATTAAATATAAAGATAATATAACACCACAACCACAACAAAACATAGTGAGAGTAAATCTATGGAAAAGTATGAAACACGGATCTTCTAGAATCACTTCCCTAACCACCTAACTTTTTTATCATTAGTTAACATCATAAATATCTCCTACTAGCTTCATTAAATCAATTAGCGTGTCAAAGACCTCAAGATTATCGAAAATGTTGAGAATCTGAGTATGCTTTTCCAATGCATTATTATTTCCATAAGCTATATGAGGAGTCATAAATGAAGTGGTGTTAATGCTAACATATCATACAACATGTATAAGATCCCTAATAAGTGACATTAAATATTTATCTTCTGACTTAGATCATTGTGTTAATCACACAACTCAATTTAGTTTGTTAGTTAAGAGTTTTGGCTACCAACCAAGAAGTCCTAGATTTAAGTCTTGTGTACATAATGTGTGTGTGAGTTTATCTTAATTAGTTTAAATGTCCCCAAGAAGATAATTTTTTTATTATTTCTTCTATTGGATGAGCCAACATACCAAATCCTCATACCATAGCTAGCATAACCATAAAGATCATGAGAAATGCACGAGCGATTACATTATATAGTTGATGATCTTCATTAAGATATTCCTGGATCAATTCGACTTAACATTTAGAATGATGTTCCAATCATTGCTGCAAATACAACAAAGATCAAGTATAGTGTTCCTATGTCTTTGGCGTTTAATGAGTAAATCCATCGAACCACAACAATAAGCTATGGTATTTACTTATAGTCTAATATCATTAATCTTGTATAACTATTGTAGTTATAATAAAAGAATGGATACTTTCTTATTCTTTTATTTCTATAGGTATGTCCTATCTAACAGACGATATGAGATTCGAACTCCTTGGAAATGGTTGAATTTTCCAGACAATTAGCAATCACCTACTAATTGAGGCCTCTTTAATAAATATTTAACAATACCATTATTTATTTTACGATGTAAAATTTAAGTTATTTTTTTTTTCTTGATTGTCTACATCATTAGAATCATATCGTCCTAATAATGTTAAAGGCATAACATCAAATAAGCACCAAAATGACATCTTTGAACAGTCCATTCTTTTAACTCAAAGGTGATGCAATTATAACAAAATGCTTTAGCATATCATAGCTTCCTATTAAATAGGAGAGTCAAAGAAGAAAGGAGGGGGGTTATTTTGCCATGATCTTTTCATTTTATGTACCCATTTCTTGGGAAAAGTCTCCCACTTAAACCCTCGGTGAAACTGGCTAAAGCCCCCAGGCTTTGAACCAGTTCTCCAATCAAAATGTACTACTGTATTTATGTAATTTTTTATCTCAAACTCGCTATACCACCACTGATTTGCTTTCTAAGTTTCACATGTCTTGTGCTAATTCTGTTAGTACTCCTATACTTGTTCGTTCGAATCTGCTTTTTTTTTTTTTTGGGAAAAGTAGGGCAAAGCCCAAATTCCATTAATATAAAAACTAGTTACATGTGTAAAAAACAAAAGGAACAAAATTATGAAAGAAAGCTATCAGGGATCGATAGCAGGATGAAAAAAGAACACCAAATGGTGTCAAAATTACACATGTGAAAGTAAACAAAAAAAAGGAGAAAATATGAAGATTAAGGATATAAGTCAAAATCGGTTTTGAAGAATTAATCCAAGTTAGAAGCCCAAAGAAATAACCTCCCAGAGTGGAAGGTGTAGGACCAAAAAACGGCTCAGGAAAAATAGATGTGCATCCGCATAGCAGCAATTTATCCCCCGGTTGCCAAAAATGTCGTCAAAAATACGAGTTTGTTGCAAAGATCGCCGTCCATGGGGAGAGGATGCAATCTGAACATCATTGCCCCCAACCATAAAAAACCAAATACGGTCAGAAAGAACAAAGAAATGCAGCATATCAAAAAAGCAAGACAAAAACAAGTCTTGCCAAAAGCTACATAACTTTCCTCGAGCAATAGCTATAAGAGAGCCTTGTATATCCTTCCTTTTTTCCATCTATTAAGCTTGATACCAATCACCGTTTTAATCAGAGCTATAATAGTTACAATGCTTTTAAAACAGTTAGCATATTTCCTGTCATTCCTCTCTCTCCAGATAATATAAACCACAGCCTAAAGAGTCAACAAGTTAAAAGCCAAACTTCCAGTTCTAGGATTGCTCTTTTCGAAAAAATATTCAATGATCTGACTAAGATTCGGCCTCATGAGAAAAATGTTTAGGGGCGGAAGAAGGCTAGAGATGATGCAAAACGAGTATTCACATTCAAAGAATAGGTGTGATGCATTTTCAGGAAAGGTCTAGCAAAAAATGCATGTGGGATCCACAATGATATTCCTCTTTCTTAAGACATCTGCTGTTTTCAACCCACCAACAAAATAAAGCCAAGCATATATAGAGAATCTAATAGCAAATCTTTTATGCCACACAAAATTGCTCCAAGAAACTTCCCCATCATCTTTTTGGTAATTCTGAATGAATTTACCAAAACTGCAAGAGTCGTTGGAGCCCCAAAATAAGCATTTACCCTTACCCGCTCTAAGAATAGGAATAGAGCATATAAGGTCTAGTAAATAAGCAGGGAAATTCATCGGAAGGTTCCAAAACCCTTCATAATAAAGCACACCCAACAGGGCATTATTAGGAAAGAGTCTAGTAATAGATTCATAATTTGGGACCTCTTGAATACACATACCAGAGCACCAATGATCCCATATCAAGCTAATGGGAGAGTTCTCAGTAATTTTAAAAATCAGATTTGATTTTGCTCTAACAGTAGAGGAGCATATGCTTTTCCACATAACCGATGCAGAAATAGGGGGGAGTTTCCATGGTGAGCAGTAATTGGCAAAAAAATAAGTAGAGGGTGGAGAGAGGTAGTTATAAATTCCCAGGATCAAAGAACAATCATAAGCATAGCGTATAGCTTGGAGCGCATGTAGCCCAAGGCCACCCTTATTTTTTGGCTTGCAAGTACTGGCCCAAGAGACTAAATGAAGCTTTTTAGCCTTAATATCCTCAAAGAAAAGGAATTTTGCTGATATTTTTTCTATATGTTTGCAGCATGACTTAGGTATAATAGTCCCCCGAATCCAATATGCAATAGTATTCCAGATGGTGAAGTGCAGATATTAAAGCCTTCCTGCAAAAGAAAGAGATGTAGCTTTCCAACCAAAAAGCTTATTAGTTATAATATCAAGAAGGGGGGGAAAATGAAAGATGAATCGTCTTTTGATTGAAATGGGGATGCCCAAGTAAGTGATAGTCATGCATAGATTTTGGATTTGAAGAGTGTCACAAATCTCCTTAGAATTTGGAGATTTTGCTTGCATGATGATGAAACTTTTATCCGGATTAACTTTTAGGCCAAAAGAGGTGGCAAAATTAAGAAGAATATCATTTAGCAATTGACAATTTTCCATGGTAGCCTTGCCAAAAACAAGGACGTCATCCGCATAAAGAAGATGCGATATTTTAAATCCATTGATATCCACTGGTTGAAAAGATCTTCCAAATAAGCAAGATAAGGCATCAATAGCAAAGCAGAATAAGTAAGGACTGAGGGGACATCCCTGACAAAGCCCCATAGAAGAGGGGATAAAGCCCTCTAAGCCCCTATCAATGCATATAGAAAAGTGCACGTTATAAATACAAGCTTTAACCCATTAGATGAAACAGGGGAATACCCTTTTGAGCCATTCTGAGCAACAAAAATTACCTCGATAGCAAATCAAAAGCCTTTTTCATATCCAATTTGGCACAAAAATAAGGGACTTTGGTGGATTTCTTAAAGAAACCCAAAATTTCAGAAGCCAAAATGACATTATCCGTGGATATTTGATTGCTAATGAAACCAGCCTGAGCCTTGTTAATAATAAGAGGCATAATGCATTTAAGCCTAGTAGCCAAAATTTTGGATATAAGTTTGTACAAAGTATTGCAGAGGGAAATTGGCCTGAAGTTCGAAATATAGTTGACATGAGAGGTTTTAGGAATCAAGAAGATAAAAGTAAATTTGATCCCCTTCGGGAGATATCCTTTAACAAAAAAGGACTTAATAGCTTTGCAAAGGGAATGGCCAAGGATGTGCTAGCTAGACTTATAGAAGTGGAAATTAAAACCATCAGGTCCAGGAGAGGAAGAGGAAGCCCTGGAGAAAACCTCATTCCTAATCTCGGTATAGGAGATAGGATCAATGAGAGTCGAATACATAGAGGAAGGAAGTGTTCTACCAGGAGGGAAACAGGAAATCTCAGGAATCTGAAGATCTTGTGGTTGTAAAGCTTCTGAAAATGGCCAATAATAGTTTGCTTAGCATTGTCAATATTCCTGGAGTTACCATATAAAGCAGTAGAAAGGGCAGCATTGTTAAAAGTTTTCCTCATTGGAATTTTCGAGTATAAAAATTTCAGATCATCTTCTCCATCTTTAAGCCATTTTGCTTTAGCCCTTTGCGATACCCAGGAAGTCCAAGAGGAGGTCAAATCAGCAAATTCCCCATTGATGGACTTCAAAACAGAATTGAGAGGAAGACTAGTGGGGTCAGAGTCCAATAAAGTGAGGAGAGACTTTTGCTTATCCTGCCAGTTATGAAGAGATAGTTGGATAGTATTAGTAGAGGCCCAATCTTTATTCTTGATGGATAATTTAAGTTTTCTAAGCTTGTTAGAAAAATCCATTATAGGATTCCCAACCATAGGCTCCAGGAAAATGTCAAGCATGATATTCCAAAAATCATCCTTAGAAGTCCAAAAGTTTTTGAACTGAAACCGACTAATAGTAAGGTGATTGCTGCCTTCCTTGAGAGCAATAGGATTGTGGTCTGAACACATAAGTTTATCAACCAAATAATGAGAAAGAGGATATTGGGCAATCCAGGCCTCAATAACTAGAACCCTGTCTAGTTTGAGATGTATAGGACTTTCAATTTATTGGTTGAACCAAGTATAAAAAAGACCGGTGGAATAGAGATCGGAGAGGTGATGACCAAAGATAAAGGAATTAAATTCACCCAGTCAGCTAAAATGGAGGGGGAAACCCCCAGCCTTCTCATTTTGAAATCTGCAACAATTAAAATTAACCATCAGGATCCAGGGCAAACCGGGGGAGGGAATATTGTTACCAAGTTGCTGCCAAAGAATAGTTCTGTCCTCCGCAGAATTAGATCCATATACATCACTCATGTAAAAAGACATAAAAGGTCCATAAGTGACCCAGCCATAAATCATTTGAGGAGAGAAGAAATTGGGAAGAAAATTAATTATGTTCCCAGCCCATTTAATCCAAATTCTACCATATGCAGAAAGATCAAAGTTGTTACAAATAACTTTGGACTCAAAAATAGCATGAGCAGCACAGAACCAGGGATTAGCTATAGAATTCCTATGAATTTTATTTTCCAAGATACAAATCAAGTCCAACTTATGGGTTTTAACGAGCTGTTTGCAAACCATGACTTTACTGGGTTGTTGAATCCCCTAATGTTCCAAGAGGCTATATGGGGAAGGGTCATTGAGATTTGGTGGTAGATGGTTGAGGATTCTTATGCTTGCCTCGGGTGTTTTTATTGTGAGATGAGGAGGGTGGAGGCTGGGTGTGTTGATCATCTTGAAAATTTGGCAGCTTGGATGCCTCTTTTTGTTTTCGTAACTGAGTTTCCATAGTGGGTCCATTGTTGGCAGATCTAGCATCAGTTTGGATGTCCAGAAGGACATCAAACTTATTAGGAGAGGCAATGGTAGTTGCCTACTTTTGGGGAATGTAGGGAATGATGGTAGTGATAATGGTTTCATCTGTAGGGGAGTTTAGATTAGGAATGAGGTCAATTTTTGGAGACCGGGTTTTGGAGGTAGAGGTTTGTTCTGTAACAGGTTGTGGAAGGGATGATTTTGACGGAGAGGTAGAAGAAGGGATGTGAGAGGAAGGTTTAGGAGGTTGTTGTGTTGAGGCAACAATAGCCTTAGAATTAGCAGTCTGGCTGGGGATCCTGACTTGAGCCGAAGAGTTGTTACTCTTCTCCCGAGTTCTATTAGAGCTAGGTGCTCGAGAAGAGCTCCTACCTTTGAAGTTGTTAGTTTTTTTTTTTTGTATTTTATCTAGAAAGAGTAACTGGTTTGGTGGGGCAAGTTTTCGAAGAGTGAACAAGGAACCGCAGCTATCACATGGAGAAGGCCTCCTTTCATACTGAATTTTCATGTGCATAATTTCATCCTCTATGGAAATGGGTATAAAGTCAGGATATTTGATTTTGTTATTGACTTGAATACAGACTCGGGCATAGGTAAGCCTGGATTTTTGGGCAGTGAGGGCATCCACCGCCAGAGGGATTCCGATTTTGCTGGCGATACAAGAAATCCCCTATGAGTTTCAAACACAAAGGGGAAGATCAATGATCTTGACCCAAATCGGAACTGAAGAAAAATTTTCTCGTTGGGGCTTAAATCTAGGATGCCATTTCTGAAGGATGAATGGGGGGCCTAAGATGAACCAAACTCCACCATGCCAATTCATTTCATAGTCCACAGGAGAGGAAAACTTAATAAGAAAAAATCCATCACTCATGTTAAAGAGCTGGATAGTACCTTGGAGTTTCCAAAGTTTCCGAAGGGTAGAAAGGAGAGCTTCGTAATACGGTCTCTTACCGATAGAGAAGCTAACCAATTAGAGATTCCACTCTTCGGCAGTGGCGTTAGTTTTAACGCGTTGGAAGACAAGAGCCTCCTAAGTTTCTTCACGAAAGTTGATTCGAAGATCTTTGGATGACAAACATTCACAAAGGGAAGGGCCGGAGGAGTCTCTAGCGGTTTAGAGAGAGGGGGAAAGTCATCTTCGTGGAGAGGGGACCCCATGAAGAAGGGAGCCCCTCACTGAAGGGAAGAGGTGGCGGTGACAGCAAAACAAGGCGACTAGGGCACGAAGCAAAACCCTAGCAGATAGTTCGATCAACCAGATAAAGCTTATTAATAGATTCACCACTCACTTTAGCATGGATGGTTGAAGGAATAAAATAAAATTTTAATGAAAAGAGATGGAATGATTTATAACTACACACAATTAAATAATAAATATGGTCAACTTAAAAAAGGATTTTCACCCATTTTTTCAAAGATGCAGCCAGCTGTTACATTGGATATAGGAGGCATTCAAGAAGTGATATTTTTCACTTCTTTTTTTCTTTTTTTTTTTTTTTACTAACTTAAGCTATGATAAGTTTTGAATTTTTTTTCTTATAATTTCTCTTCTAGTGCATACATATTGTTAACACTAAACACATGTAAAAGGATATATTACTAAACTATATTTCAATATATT